CATTCCATGTCTCCGCGGATAGCTGTGTTAGATGCATATTTTCAAACAGCTAAAAAGTATCTGCACGCTTTGTTCTGTACCATATTTATTAATGCATGTTCCTTGGTACCCCAAATGGCACGTCCATATATAAGAACCGGTTCCACTACCGTGTTATATAGTTTGGTGAATACATCAAATACCATTCCTCCCAGAGAAATATGTTTTCCAATAAGTGCACCTAGTGCTCTACTTGCAGATTTTGCGAGCTCTTTCATGGCAAGTGCTCATCCATCCATATCCCCAGATACTTGTAAGAGTCCACTATTTCCATGTCCTGTGCACCACAGTGAAACACAGCGTTTGTACAATGTACGCGGTATTGATGGATTTCGGAAATGGACTATCTTTGCTTTGGCTGGGTTTACATATAGTTTCCATTCGTTGCACCACTGAGAAACAATGTCGAGTAAACGTTGAAGTTTGGCTTCATCCGGCGCGATAACACATATATCATCTGCGTAGAGAAGTATACTAAGCTTGACGTCATACACTGGAATTCCACATCCTGCAACATTGATTTTTTTCAGCTAGATCATTTATATTTACAGAAAATAAACTAAGCGTGATACTACAGCCGTGTTTCACGCCCGACTCCACATCCAACCATGGGGTATGGTCGTTATTTATTCTGACTGCACTTTTTACGTTAGTATATAATGACTGAATCGCCGATAGAAACTTCCCATGTACTCCGGCACGACGTTGCTTATACGATAGAAGATTACGTTCCACTGAGTCAAACGCTTTGCGCATGTCGATAAAGCATACACATGTGGGTTGTTTGGATATTTTACTAGTGTTGATTACGGAATATAGGGAGTAAATATGGTCCTCACAGCTTCTCCCTTTTCTGAATCAATTTTGTTCGTCGCATAAAACCTCACTCTGTTTTATGCAGGAGCTCAATCTGGCATTTAAAACATAACAATGAATCTTACACGGTACTGAGTAATTTCGCGATAATTAAATGGGTTTCTCCTGTCGTCAGATCCAGGTTTAAATATTGGGTTAATAATTCCCTTGTTCAATTCTGTAGGTACTTTATCGAGCTCAAAACATCCCTGACAGATAGTGTAGAGGAGTCCTATTGCTGTATCATTTTTTAAAACTTCCGCTGGTAGTTCATCCAATCCTGCGGCCTTTTTTTAAAACTTTGCAGCCTCCACCGCTTTGAATGTTTCCTCCCTTGTGATGGGTTCGTTTAATCTAGAAGCAGCTACCTGATTATTTAGGATAACCGTTTGTTGTGTCCGATGAGGTGTCAGTAACGTTACTATACAGATTTCCAAACTCCTTTCTCCAAGTTTCCAGTACCGTGTGAACTTGTCCATTAACATCCACTACCGCACACGGGATATGTTGTTTACATTTGTTTACTATTCCTACACTCCGATAGACTCCCAAAAACCTCGTGGCGATGCGCTAGATAATCGCTCATGTACTCTCCAACATTCACTACACTGGTATTGTCGTTTAAATTTTCTGCTTAACCGGTCGAAAATTTTACACTCAGAGCAAAAGGTTTCTTTAAGTTTTCTCCTCGCGTTACTACCATTATACTGTTACCACTCCTTCTCCTCCTGACATGCCGCTGTCCACTGTAAAGTTAGGGTATCATTCCATATACGACCTTCTTGAAGTCGTCTGATCGTATGTCAGTGTCTTCCCGTAAGTTAATTTATGTCTTTGTATTAAAGCAGAATTTCTGAAATACGTGAATTTCCCAGTTAAGTCTCAGTATCGGATGTTGACATATCATCGTCATGCATGTGTACTATTGTTTACCCGGTGTTACTATGATTTACACTACGGTAATGGAATGCCCGATACGCAATACGGAAATGACGACACAAAAATACGACAAGAAAAACGGTGGGAAGTCCTTTATGTAACTACGATTTCAGACTTATAAACACATAGATGAATTATCTGTCGTTTATTATTTTAAAGCTTGTTCCAAAAATGACACGAGGACATAGTAGAAAAACATACAGAATACATTTTTTCCCCACAATAACAATGCATTAACCCCCATGTGGAGAATGAGAACTGCAATTATCTATTCAATCAACGACCAAACATTTACATTCCTTAATTTGAAACAAATTATAAAATTCACAGGGAATTAGGTATTCAAATCATCCAATAGCTTCATAAATTAATTCCGATGAAATTTTATTATTGAAGCAAGTAATAAAACAGGCATTGACTTTTGTGATGGTACGTGAGGTGTCAAATGCGGTTTTGCATCTTGTGAAACAACTGCAATTTTCTTTGTATCGATAGATTTTCTAAACTAATTATAATCTTATAAGACGCAGAAGTATAAACATATGATGAAAAAGTAGTAATGATATATAACTTTGTACTTTTTCTAGCAAGTCTGGTTCTACGAGTATGCAATCGTTCCACAGTTCACATGGTATTCAAAAACCGATAAAGTAGAAGTGGTATAATTTTTCAGCATTTTCTTTCCATTAATATCGTGAGAACAATTCATTTTTAATTCCAAATTATAAATATCATTTATATGATCCAACCATTTCCATATGTTTTGAAAGCAACACCCAAGTGTTAATGAGTTTCTGTAAAATCTTAAAATTCACCTTAAAAATATCCGGTCAAATTGACAGTTAGAATTATGATCCAACCATTCCCTTTATTTTGAAAGCTACACCCAATGTAGCGGAGGACAGTAGAAATGGCTTGACCCTAAAAATAAAGGGCATGTCTCGGATAGACATGGATAGCGGATTCATCCTGCACAACACACCTACATATATATATATATATACTTATAAACTACATTTTGAATACGGGTTTTTTAGAAGAATGATTTATTTTTCAAAAAGAGATTTCCCAAGATTTGGGACTTGTGAAAACCATGGTTACCACATCAAAAAACGCCAATAAGTGCAAAAAAACATGATTTTTAACCCAAAATTTGACCCACGCAAGAAGTAATGTTTTTCTTAAAACCTGTCTTAAATTAAATATTACCTACTCGGTAACAGAAATACGCACGTTTTAGCATAGATCGTTCAAATGGATTTTTTTCACAATATTTATTGTGCTGAGTACAAAAATAGACTACATGAAAAGCCAAATTCGATCTTTTTTTTAAATGTGAAGCCCACATAATCTAATTCATCATGTATATGCCAATTTTAGAGCTGATTGTTTTAAAAGTTTTGATACATGTAATATTACAGGGGTAATTCATTGTACAAAAAATATCACCCATGGCCACCGTACGTTACTGGACACTGCTACCTTATACATCACTTTGTTTTTCCCAAAATTTAATTAAGTGACCGAGTAATATGAATTCTCCTGACCGGTGAAGTTTTACTAATTCTGCTCTCATACTACCAACAAAGGGAGGTAATCTGAAAAATTAAAACTTGAATAGGTTTGTAGTTTTCATGAATAAAAAATATTTTTGGGTGAAATATGATGCTTTGAGATCATGTGCATGTAAGAGACAAAACAGTACGGTGATACTATGATTTTTATGTCTTGTTTAATGACGTCATAGTAACTGTGATGTCATCATAACTATGACGTCATCAATGGGCATCTATGACATCATCAATGCTCACTGATGTCAAAATGAGCACTATGAAACCCATCACAACAACAAACCAGCAACAGACACACTTCCCGTAACCGACGGACAGCACCAAAATGTCAGATATTTTGAAACATCAGACAAGTGCCACCATAGCAACCGTTATTTACTTACGAATACCACTATTTATACCAATGTACTAATGTATCTGTTGTAGCTCTTAGACAGCTTTATATACAAAATTATTATTATGTCAACCCAACCTTTATTAAAATGAAAGGAATCTTCTAAATGTTTAACACGGTACTTTTAACAAAAGTAAGTAGATTTATACAAAAAGTAATGAAGCTACTTAATATCAAAAATAAGTTAGCTACAGGAATTATTGAAATAGGTTGTTATTATCTATATATTGTAATATATGTCATATTATGTGTGTACTATGCCCATCAATGTATACTATGTAATATTCGATCTCTTGTTACGCACGTATACGTGTGGCGTGAGTGCAAAAATCAAACTTAAAAGCAGGTACTTTCCTACAGTAAACAATATTCACACGGACATATATTCTTTTTAACAATTGTCTGTAGTACTATACTTTATATTGTCTGATGGAAATCGTTAAGAATATTTGCTAAGCATCCGAGGAAAATAAACATGCATGTTAAGTATTTTGCGACAAATCAAAATCACTGGGTCTTGTTTGACATTTGGTGGTTATTTATTTGATTAATATCTTAATTTGAAAGCTTTGAGACTTTCTTAAAGATTACCAAAGAACCCCAAAAAACTAGATTTTATTGCAGACACACTTTCAAGCTCTAATGTTATCTTATAGCAGGAGTACCACAGGGTTGAGTGCTTGCTCCATTACCTTTCTCGAGTCATGTTTAAATAAACAAGTTAACGTTTAAAACAATGAGTGTTTTGCTTTATTGAATTCTCAGATAACAGAAAAGATATTATAGTCAGAATAAAGGACTCTTCATTAACACATGAAACCACAGGTAGAAATTATTTTGTCATATGGCACCTTGCGAGTTTAGCTATGCAGCAGCATCTGTGCCGTAAAGGTCCCTGTACCACTGCCAAAACCTTAAACTAACATGCATTGGAAACTATTTTCCGGCTGAACTATATCGTTGAGAAATTAATTTTGAAAAGAAAGTCATACATTTCGGAACTACTATGTAAAAATGTTAGCGATAAAATAAACAAAAACAAAATCAGCAAAGATGACCAGAGCCGGAACCCCGGACCCCCATTCATTATATTGGGGTTCTAACCAAATGAACCATCTCGTACCAAGACCCAATCGTCCTTCAGTAATGCAAAACAAATCAAGGGGAGCTCCGAACAGTAATAATAACTGATAACAAGTGAATATGTTTTGGACAGTATTTTTAATAAGGGTAATAAATAACAATAACAACAACAGCAACAATACAGATACATCGCGCAATATCACAGTTATGTTTGACAGTCTTGTGGAATCTGAAAAAATCATAAAGAAAAACACTTTAGTATGGTTATAGAACTAGTACTATGTTGAGGTACAAAAAAGATGAAAACGTTTTAAATAGGTTTTAATCAATCTAGACTTCTAAGTCCTTGAGCAATTATAACGTGATTATATATATGCTGCAAATTTTGAGAGGATTCCACATCTTTTAACATCACTTTAAGCCAGATATATATAATAAAATATTTAACAAAAGAGAAATTATTTTAGGAGAGTTATAATCTGTACCCACCATGATTTTTATGAGTACCCGGCGGCCGATCTCCACCTCCCTTGGTTAAGTCTAACCAGTCAGGGTTCCTGTTATGTTGAAGGCGAACAACAGCAGGAGACCAGAGATCACTGAAAAAAAAGAAAAAGGTTTGGACGTCACTGGGGCTGGTCAAGCGTTAATAAGAGAATGTTACAAGGAGTGGTCAAATTTTAAAGAAAAAGGGCGTTTATGGTGAGATACTGACCAGGGGTGGATTTAGAGGGGTACACGGTCGCTGCATTACACCCCCTACATAAACTTCTTCATTTGTTAATTTTTAATTTATGTACATTGATAATATAATGTGTAGGAATAACATATTATCATATATTGTGATATATCTGTTACTTACAGAGGGCGAAATTGGAGCTCTGTTTCTGTTGTTGGTTTCCGTAGTTGTAGTAGTAGTTACTCAGACCGCTACCGGAACCGTAGCCTGCCATCCCGTACCCGGGGGTACCATATCCGGGGTACTGGGCCACAACAAAGGCCACTAGACATGGGATCAGGATCAGGGCGAGACACTTGTTCATCTTGTAGCTGTAAAAGGAAATTAACAGTATCTTATTACAGTGTTTTAACACTTTTTTACGTTTTCATATTTTGTTTACATAGCAGACGACTTTTATTCACTGTGTCGTAAAGATCCTTTTTTAGAGTACTGATATTTCCCCGGATCGATCTCAATTATCTCGTTTATACGCATGGAGCACGATTTAGAGATATCGTTCTTTTTAACATGCATGCTAAAGATGTTTTACATTTAGCGGTTATCATTATTAAACGTTATATAGAACTAGCGCAAAATGCGCTAAAATACGATTGCTTAAAAGTGCATTTATAGTAATAATCTCAATGATGAACAAACCTGCATAAATAGTTTGTATGATGCTCATGATTAATAAACCTACAAACGTTTTGGATCTTAGGTCAAATATCTAAGGAAAATTCTGTTATTATTACATGTATACACATTGACAAGTAGGATGTGAACCATCAGAGGTGAGACGAGAGCATAGTTCATCTCGGGGAAACAAGTATCCAGGTCTCCCTCACACCAGGGCAATAAGTGTATAATATACGTATCATGATGCCCCCGGATTCGAGAACAGATATAAATATATATATAAAAGTAAAACTGTATGCTCCCTATACACTTCCATATATATCATTTACCTCTGATGACCACGAGGCAGCGTTTTGAGAAAAAGTATTTGTTTTTGTATGTTAAAATAGATCAGAATATGACGAGTAAATCAGAGTATGCTGTTAACATGTACACAGTACTTTATATAACTATATCTTACCTTTCTGTAGGGAGATCAGACCAGCTCTGGTAAATCCCGATATTTTTGTCCTTTTATATGCCCTAACTCGAAGATGTACACATGCAATAACATTATGGACTGTTCGTGGACTTATCCCATGATTTCCTAAGGGTTAACATTTAAATACATGTGCGTGCAGGACGTGACTGGTACGGCTTCCGTGTCTACTTGAGACGATACATTATATTGCTGACTTTGAGCACATTGCAGACATTTACCGTGAATTACACAATCTTTTAACTATTATCCAATATATGTGCTTTTCGTCATTACGTAATCAATATATCTATTTACCTGTAATTGAGGTTAAGATTAGGTACCGGTATACACATAGTCCGTACCTTCCGAATCGTGGACCGGGGACACGAGCCCGGGGACACGGACCGGGATGTTTGCTCGAGACCAAAATGAATCACTGAGTTACTGTGTTACATGAATGATTAGTTAAAACTTTATTTTATTATCGGTATAATATTCCAGTAATACAAACATGATATACATATAGGATTCGAAAACAAGTACTTTTTTGTAAAACGGCAATTGGACGGCACTGACTAATATTATACATATAGATATAAGTATATGGAAGAGAGGAGGATGGGGGAGGAAGAAGGGAAAGAGGTGCAAAAGGGTTTTAAGGTGTTGTTGGGGGTAAAGTATAGGGGAGTACATTTACTGCTTATGGGAGGAAAAACTGGTTGAAGCATATTTTGGATATGGACACATGTCGAGGACTGTACACGTCACTGAGGTATTCAACACACAAATTAATTGCATATAATGAAAACTTTCCATTCCGACCCCTGAGTATTCCGACAACCATTGGTGAACAGCAACCTGGTGTAATTTGAAATATTAAAAGTGTCATCAAACAATAAATATATATATATCCACACTGCGTGTCGTGACATACAGGGCCGTACCAGTTAAGTCCCACTATGTACCACACTGTGACATGTAAACATACACGAAATCAAAATTGAGAACTTCAAACTTAAAATCGTTTCGACTGGTTGATGAAATGTTGGACACAGTCGAAAATATTCCCATTATATCAGGATTTCCGTACAGAAGAAGATTTACATCATAGTCGGGAGGAAGGCTTCTGAAGCGTTGTACTCTTAATTGTTGGTATTTCGGACAGAAGAGGAGCAAGTGTTTGGTTATTTCAGCAGACTGATAACAAGTACACATGGGACTATCAACTAGGTTTCGTCTATATAAATGACTAAAGAGAGAACTGCAGTTCATTCTTAATCGTGCATGATGGATTTGGACGAATCTAAATCTGCAGTAGTAATAATAAGGCGAAACAAGATGGATTTTCAACATTCAGGAACTTTTAAGATTAGTAATCGACGGGTTAGGCTTTAAACAGTATTGTATTATCGGGAAGTGCATTCCATAGGTCAACAGAGGAGGATAAGACAGAATCCCTGTGAAGTTTGGTTCTACAGTTTATTTGGCAGTAATTATTTGTGTTTCTAGTATTATGAGAGTGTAAGTCAGAATGACGAGCAAGAAGTATGTTAGTTAGATAGGAGGGACACTGACCATGGACAATCTTATAGAATTGTATGCTTTTATGTTTTCTTCTTTGAACAGAAAGAGGATTCCAGCCAGATTCTAAATAAATTCGGTCATGACTAGTTAGTTTAGTTTCCCCAGTAACACTTCTGGCTGCTTCGAGCTGTATATTTTCTAATAATTGACTTTGTCCAATCGTTATATTGTCCCATATTATATCACCATATTCTAAAAGGGGTCGTAGAAAAGTCATTCGGTCAATATTGAAGTTGAATTTCCTTAGAATACCAAGTTTCTTAGATGCTTTGCTGTGATAATTGTATATTGCACATGGTCGTTCCAACCTCCGCTAGCTGAGATAAAGACGCCTAGGCGTTTGTGGCAGAGGACTTCTGTTAAAGGGGATGTTAGTCGTAAATTATTTTTCCTACTTTCATTGTCACTGTTTAGTTAGGGTTAAAGTTAACAGGACATTTTTAGACCAATCATGAATTTTATTTAGATTGTAGTTCCAAAGGATGGCACTTAGATCAGGCAAGTCCACTACAACGTAGCGGGAGGTATCATCGGCAAATAATTATATAATACAATTGATATCTCCAACAATGTCATTAATGAAAATCCGAAACAACAATGGGCCTAAAATTGACCCATGGGGAACCCCGGCTGTAGTAGATGCTAAATCAGACTGTTGACCATTAATAACAACTCGGTGAGACCCATTATATAAAAAGTTTGAGAACCAAGCAAGTACATTTCCTGTTATGCCAAAGTTTTCGAGTTTAGATAGAAGACTAAGATGCCACACTCGGTCAAACGCTTTACTAATGTCACAGAAAACTGTTCTTATTTCTTTACCTTTATCTAGAGCAGAATAGATGTCGTTAGAAATAGAAATAAGTTGGCTTGTAATGAAATCGCCGGATCTAAAGCCAGCCTGACAAGGAGACAAAAGAGATTTGCCAATTAAATAATTGTAAACATACAATTTCCTGATTAAGTATCACAATCTCACTTTGGTTATTTCAATTGTATACGTATCCCTCTGGGTGTCGGAATTGGAACTCGGAATTTGGCAACAACTTATCAATTCACCCGGCGTTTTCTTTTGGAGTGTAAAAATTAGCGAAAGTATATGTAATTAGTGTAACATTATTCTTTTTCATTGTTATATTTTAATTGGGAAATGACAACCTTCTCGTGCACTCTTAAGACTGTTCGCGGAGACCGATATCTGGAAAAAAATTAATCTCATTTATCTTCACGGTTTATTAATTTGCTACTGATAAATGAACAGATTTAGGCTAGTCCGACTATCTAATTATCTCTGAGTAATCAATGAGTTAAAAGGACTGCAGATCATATAAAAGTTATATGTATTGTTCACATAATAATTGTTTATGTTTACTTATTAAATATCTTAATAAGTTGAAAACATTGCTGTCGCTTCTAGTAAAAAAAAAAGTAACGTATCGACTTTCAAATTTGAATGCATTACAAATCAATTACAATCTTGGAACAATATGCTTTTCAGTGCACATACATGTATAAAACTAGATTAAATACACGATTCACACATTATATAACTATTATCTATACGAACATTTTAATACAATATGTGTTACTGTAAATGTAATTGGAAAGAAAAGTTTATACCAGCATTGTGATAATAACCTCAGCTGGCCTATTTAACTTCCTTCGATTAAGGTACGACATATTTGTGTTGATAATAACGTAAGGGGAGTAAAAAAATGACCCAATAGTTTATAGTTTTAGAGGCATCATCCTACTGCCCGTTATATCAAATAGGGCCAGCACAGTCATATGTTAAGATACTTTTCCTAACAGACGGCACAATCTGCATATCGAAGTAATCTTTGTAGCCCATGTACATCTTGTAACTTACATTGATCTTAAATTTGTTTTTATTTTATTAGAGATTTTATGAAACGAGTCTGAGGAGTTTTTATTTTTGCGAGTCTTGGGGAGCAAAAATTAAAGCTTCGAGACCAGTTTCATGAAAGCTCATATGAAATTTTAAGATACTTTTTATCACATAACTCAGAAAACTTACATTCTGACAGGTTTTTAAAGCCAAAATTCAGAGGGCTTAATCAAACGGAGACAGCCATTTTGTTGCGCCATTCACTATTTATGACGTCACGTCATTGTCCATATTGTGACAATCGATTTCTGACTGGCACAGTCAATGAAAAACGCTCCAGGGTATATTACACTAGTGACATATGTAAAAATATGGATTCTTCTTAAAGAAACGTATACACGTGTAGAAAGTTCCATCTTATTTACTGATTTAAATTAAGAAAGTAGCCAAATGGAGAGGGGGATTTTACAGGGCGGATCTTTGTCTGCGAAAATGTACTTAATTTAAAAAAAAATGCATTATTGTATGAAATAGCGCGGAACAGATGCAGTGATCATTGATTCAAAAGTCTTTCAAAAATGGTCGATATAGTGAAACTTGGAGATTCACTTTCTCGTCTACCAAAAGTAAAACTAATGTTTTCAGACAAATGCACCTTGCATAACATACCAGATGTCTTCCTTTACGAGTGCGTGCTGCCAGTTGTTGAAGAAATTAAACATGTTGGAATATTGATAAATGGCAGGAGAAACTCAATGGAAAGAACTACTAGAGCATGTTAAGGTTAAAATCTGGTACTACACCCGAGTGCGCTTAAACCTCTCACTGTTCCTAAGTTATTTAAAGTTAAAGTGTACCCGTCTGCCTTATATGGATGTGAACTTTGGTTGCTTTCTTAACCTGAAGTATTAACGTTGGTCATATCACAGAACTATATTGTAAAACATATACATGTACAAGGGTTTGAAAAAAAATCCATGGCCGATATGCGTAATTTATTATTAGGCTGGACAAGTATTTCGTCTTAAATTGATATGAAGAAATCATTATTTTTGGGACGAATATATTGTGCGCAAGTACATAGAATATTTGTCACTTTTTATTTTCAATTGGAAAGTTGGAAAACAATATGGATTTATACAAGATATAAGAATCCAACGAAATTATTCTTTGTATGATATATTTGTTGATCACATAAAATAAGGTGCATATGCAGGAAAGAGACAGTGGGGAAACATTGCATATAAAAGTGTATCGAACCGAAGACAATGCATGGTTAGAACGTATGTAAAATGACAAAGATTCCGTATGATTTATGTCCATTCACCATTAAATCGAGTCACATTAGCTACAAAGTATCCACAGTATTCTAATATCTATACATTGTATCTTAAGAGTTTGTGTAATGTCTCGTACGTCAAAACTCATGGAATTATGTCATTACTGTGGAGAGTTATATTATGATACTATAGCTTATATTGTTTTACATTATGACAAAAATACTGAAGTCAGTGACAAAATTAATTATGGTGCCATTTAATTAGTGTTTTGGATAAACAATTCAATGTTTATTTGCATAATTTATCAGACTTAACAATCAATTTAGCATTGATGCCAATTACAATGTGCATCTTCTTTCTTCTACGAAATATCTATT